AAAAAAAAAAAAAAGACCTTTCGAATTGTACTTCAATGGTTAGATTTTATGCCTCAATAAATAGCAATAAGATATTTATAACGCAGCTGGTGTATGAAGAGCAGCATTCAGAATTTCGATCCCCCTGAAATTGAAAATCAAGCAAAATTTATCATTCGACTATAATATTCAGCCAGTATAAAACCCTGCATCCACCATTTTCTAATCTATAGCAAAAAGATTCACCAGTACGAAAAGGTCAAATCAGTCACCGAATGGCGGTGATAAGTTCTCGGAACAATTTAATTTTTGGGCCCTCTAGAAGGCATTAAATCCGCAAAGGTTTGAAGTGCACTAGAAAAACTGATTTAAGACGTCTTTGTAAGTTCTGTCTTATGAACTGGCCTGGTGGTTTGTACTTCGATCCAACAGGGGCAACTTTTACGGAGATCTGAGCCAGGGTTCCATCCTTCGACGAAAGATATGAGCAAAGTACAGGAACATCGAAGGTCTTCAATTCCAATATTGGCACACTGAAAAAAAGTTATCTGAATGAGTGTTTGCAATAAATACTGCAATGAAATATTACGACAAAAAAAAAATAAGTCTACAAAAAGCATCAGATGTTCAATGAAAATAGGTTAGCTTTATAAGCGTCCCACAACCTTCTATAAGCAGCAACCTTACACTGATTTCTGCGACCTAATCAAACTTAAATACTCAAACAGTATTTACAAAGTCTTATAAAGACATACCCCAGACACTATAAGAGATACACAATAAAATTACACTAGTGTAAAAAAAATACATAAAAAAGCAAAAACACCTTGGCCCTGGCAGTTTCATTAATTTGGAAAAGTGCCGGTAGTTCAGTAGCGACTGCTTTTCGAGCTCGCTGCGTACATATCATACGATAACACAAGCCCAAATCAAAGATCTGAAATGTTAAATGATGAAAATTGAACTGGAAATTTCTTTTTTTTACAAGCGTAGTTTACAATGTTTTAAGATTTACTAGCCACAGGCAAAAAGACGGAGTAAATTGCAAGCTAAACTCCGATAAAGGCAGAAGCAACCAGTGAAACAAAACTTTTAGAAGCGCTAGTCTATAAACCATTACTTTAGTTATATTTTTCAAAAAAATTCACCTTAACAGTTGCCTGAGTATATACTTTGTGTACACCATCTCCTGCTGATCTCCCAGTTTCACGATCCAAATAGCAGCTTCGAACAAAAACTGGCTTCCCTGATAAACAAGTCAACCAAATATCACCCTCCCCTCTTACATCCAAGCGAATACCAGATGCAATTAAACGTCTAAAAAGATCATAAAATAAAACTTAAGCTACAAACAACCCATCCAGACGGGAACAAAGGAATACTTTAAAAAATACGAAAAATAACTGTATCGGATAGGAAACAATGTACAGTAAAGAATGAGCAGGAATACTCGCATCACAGACCTGCATCTCTCGATGGCTTCAGAACGGTCTGGATTAACCAAGCACTTTAAATTAAAACGATCTACGTTACGCGTATCCTCCAAGCAATCAATAAGTACTGTTGGACACTTTGCCACAAAGCTTTCGCCGATTTTCTTGTCGTACTCATAATAATCGATCGTACACCAACAAGATCCCCCTACATGAACAAAATACTAGTCCCTAGTATTTGCAGGTTATCTAATAGTTTTGGAATTGAAAAGAATGAGAATGTGAAAAGTGCGGATCCAAACATTAAGTAGCACTAAATCAGTTACCGAACTGAGCCGGATGAAGCAAAGAGGTGCTAAGAGTAGATAAATTTTGAAGCTGGTTGATGCCCTCTGCAAAAGCAAGAGTAAAAATCTCGAGTCATTAGGCATAATGTGATGTAGTTCCTTTTTTAAGTAATATAAAAAAGTGAAAACATATAAACAAAAAGTATACTCAACACAGTGTTTATGCAAAATAATCCCCTAAAAAGTTCCATAATGAAACACAATTTTTTCAACGTACGAGGGAGATTATTAATGTTAAGTAGTGCGGAACTATTAGGAACAAGTAAATTTCCACTGGTTGATGGCCCCGCAGTAGTTTGTCCCATCGTACTAGCTTGTGAAGTAAGTATGTTCCCATTGCTACTGACTGAAACAAAAGACTTAACCAAAGAAGATTTATTAAAGGAAACTCTGATAAAATCCTACGAATAAGGCGCCAAAATTAATACAAAAAGCAGTCATTCTTATCACAACCATAAATTTTCATTATCAGGCTTACTGAGATCAGCAGAAACATCGTGATATCCAGTACTGCCAGTACTGACACTTAAAACCTTTTCCAAGTCAACAGGATGTACCGACGGTCCAGCATCAACTTCTAAAGTAAAAGTAATAAAAGCAACCATTTCTTGTGTTCTCATTTCTCAAGAAAAAATGAATTATGA